GGCATGCAGATGCAGGGGGCGGTGGCGTGGCTCTGCAACTTTGGAAACTGCCATTTCATTCACCCAAGGCGCTGTCTGGGGGAGGGGGCCGTTCCCGGCTGCAGAATTCTAGCTCTCACGACACGCCGACAAGCCCACTTGTACCAAGGTGGGGCCGACCGTGGAGTACTCTCAATCTCCTCCTTTGTAAAAATGCAACCTTGGGGCTGCAAACGACAGCAGGGGATTTAGGAAACTTTGCACATGGAGAAAAGCCCTTCTCTAGACGGAGACCAACAACGGGCACCCAGACCCACAAATCCCTCGCCCCCCAAATTTGAGCAGACGCCCCTCGGCATTCACCCGCTGCAGGGATACTCTTGCCAGTAGCTTATCTGAAACCTCTCTAACCCCACCCCCGCTCTTCCAACGCCCCAGCTGCGTCCCCGTCCAGAGAAGGGGAAGCCCGAGCTCCGGCTCCCCGGAATGGTGCAGGGGCGCCCGCGAGGGGAGGGTCGCCAAGAGAGCCGCGTCCCCTCCGGGCTGGAGCAGCCGTGACCCAGATTTCCACCGCGGCGGCCTCACCCTGCCTAACACCCCCTTCCTCCGGAGGCACCCTTTGGAGCAGAACCCCAGCTTGGGGTGGGGACGCACCGGCTCCCCGTCAGCTCAAACACCGACAGGTCTTCTAGAGCAGGGGGAGTCTCTTTCCGCAGAAGCCATTACTCCCCCTTGGCAAGGGCTGCAAGAGGAATAGGGCGGGTCTCTTCTGGCGGGGGTGCCTTTGGGGCTGGAACTGGTTTTTCAGGGAAAACCCCGAAATGGTTTTGTTTCGGAAGCAGAAACAGTCCCCCGGGCACATTCGGGCGCCCCGTGCGCGAGTCGCTATCCTGTCCAGGGCTCGCCTTGCCGGGGCGCTCGCGGTTCTCGGGGCGCCAGGCGCTTTGCCAGCCCAGCTCCTTACCTCCCGCCGACTGCCCGGGATCCGGAGGCGAGGCTGCGCGGGTGTCTCCGGGTGGGCCGG